AAACTTGATTGTTACAAATCCATGTGATTTTGGACCAATAGGATTGTAGACTGATGTAAAGACACGCAATTTGAAGTTTACGCCGACCAGAATAATCTGACCAGCTGAACTCAAATAATTGGCGTGGCTGGTCACTGCCATGCCATTGGCCAGATGATCACCACGTCACATCCTGCGTCTGATCTGCAGAAGCACTTGTTGTGGGTCGTAGCCTCGTTTTGCAAATTACTCACCAGCTATTCTACTACCATTAAATGCGCTTTTCCCTGAATTGGGGGGGGGGGGGCATCTTAGCTGGGTGACATCGCCAAAATATGGATGGCAAAGACGAAAGCATGGGTCGGGTTTACAAGTGCTGGGTTCGACGTGGCCGTTCGGATAAGGAAACATCTGAACTCTTGTTGAAGACCGATGTAGCACTGCGCAACCTCTAGCGGATCTTGGACAAACGAGGAATGAGCGTAGAGGATATTTACAAGGTTTGGTGATACCTCAAACAGGACGATCGTGAGATCACCACGTATAGATGGCGTTACAAAAGAAAGCACGAAAACTAACGATGAACTCTACAGAGGTTGGGGACAACGTCGGAAAGAGCAACGGAATATTGTCGAGCTGCTATTCATCAATCAAGTGAATTAATTCAACAACGTAAACTACAGACGATTCCTTCGGTAGTCGTGGCGTTGGGAGCCACCAATTTATTCCTGTCTAAGGGTATTCCTATCCACGAATATACCATAAAAACGGATCCGAGTACCTTCCGTTTGGAACAGTGCACAAAATATACTAATGGAGATGACTGATGTAGCTCGTTACTGGCGATTCGCCCTGTTTTGCTCTCCTATTGCCAGTTTTGCCTCACCACTCAAAGGTATTCTCCTCTCTAGCCCAACCAGTCTTCCTCACACTCACCAATACTCAACGACTGCTATACAAATATGTTAGCACCATGCTCACATATCTAGTTTGTCCCAGAGCTAAATTCATGGGCTCACAGAATCAACGGTCTTGGAAGCTATTGATACGCTGAACAGCACTGGACTCACTTCCGGTCTCGTAGTTGGCCACCAAATCGCGGCACGAGGCGTGTGTCAGTCTACACCCGACCAGGTACTTGCCAGTTGGGTTTTGTGGGGTGAAGACTCTTCAGAAGAGGGTGTTGCCGTCACAGGTGTGCAATTAGAGTGAAGGTTGAGCGCTTTCCGTGATCCTAAAGCTCGAATCACGTCCAAAGAAGTCAAAAGAATAGGCTTCATCGGTTCAACACTCGGATCGGGCTTGGCAGCAATGATGCTCTTGTACAGTTATGACTTTTACATAGTTAAGCACCCCAGAAGAGGAATATTTGAATTCAAATGCATTCCATTTTGCGGTTGAGGAATATTATCGGAAGTTTGTATGTGACTGGTCAACGGGAGACGCTAATTTTATTGCTGTTGAGGGAGTATTCCATTTCTAGGGATTACTACCGAGGGGATCGTCTGCACCATGTTACGTCGATAAAAAGAGAGCACAAGCTCGTTCACCGTAAGTGTGACGCTACCACTAAAAAAAATCAATTAAAAAAAATGAAAATAAAACTGAAAAATAAAGGGCATGGAGACATTTGACTATGCTGGCAAAAGTGTGTGCTGTACCATACAAGTACTTCATTGACCAATTACATGGTTTCAGCGGATTGCAAAGCCACTAGTTTCACAGGATAGGCTCAACCTCCACTTCGATGTGGTGAGGTGCAACCTTCGCGTCGTCCAGCATCATGATGCGCTCCCGATCCTCTTCACTGCACACTGCAGGAGTACGCAGCTTGGCCGTGTACACGCAGGTGCTGGGCTCCTCGATATCGGACAGCTCCATGGGCTCTGGGCCGCATTCCAACTTGACCGTCAGCGATCGGTTCGGGCCGTTCCAGCACTTTTGGCCGTTCGAGAACTTCATCTCCTTCACCGTCACAATAGATTCTTCATCCTCAGTCGACTCGGGGTTCTTGATGTCCTCCATATCGCCCAACTTGGTGTGATCCTGAGTGGCTTTTCCGAAGAAGCAGACCTTGTACTTGTATTGTCCCGCCTCGGACTCCACGCACTTGTCACGCAGAGCGAAGAACAAATGGTCCTCGCCGTAGTTCTTCTCCAGAAGTTTCTGGACGTCAGTGAGCTTCTTCTCCTCCTCCGTCATCTCCTTCTTTGTGTCCTCATGCTGCTTCCGAGTCAACACCGCCTGGACCCACTCGTACCGCTCACTCGCTGCCAGCTCTTCATACAGAAGATCGATGGGGCGAGTCTCCACCTCAGGCAACGTCAGATCTTCCTCCTCCGTCGATTCCTCAGTCTCAGGCGCCGTCGCCGTCTCAGCTGCATCGTCGCCTTCTGCAGCCTCAGCAGCCTTTGCCTTCTTCTCCTCCCGCTCTTCGATCAGCTTTTCAATGCGACGCGTCTCCTTCTGACGAGCCTCGTCACGTTCCCGGAAGGCCTCGTCCTTTTCCTCCATAAGCGTTTTAACCAGCTCTTCCTCGCCTTCGTGCGCTCCCTCGCGCTCCTTCCGGACAATCGGCAGCAGCTCGTGCTTCGCCGAGACGCCATTGCGTCCGATCTCCAAGATAATCGACAGGAGCTGCTCCTTCGACATGTCCAGCAATCCTAATTGCGATAAAATCTCTTTCTTACTAGCTGCAATGCGCTTCGCCTTCTCCTCCATCTCCAGTCGCTCCTCATCCGCCTTCCTCGCTTCCAATTGCTCCACCATAACCTTCAATGACGCCGTTTTAGTCTCAATCCGCTGCTTCTTCTGCTGTTCTTCATCCCAAAGCTTCTGAGCCTCCGCCACCAGAGCAACACGGTCCTCCAGTCCCGCGTCCACCTGCTCGATCAGGTCCTTCTTGTCCGCCTTAAACGCCTCCATCTTCTCCGCGCATTCCGAGACGCAGGACACGCCACTCGCGTACTCGTCTGAGCCATCGCAGCAGTCGCAGATGCCGTCGTTAACGCGTGACGTCGGCACGTCAGCTGAGAAGAAGCCTGCGTTCACACAATGGAATAACGCGGCCGTGTGCGAGCACGCCGACGTGCCCGGCTCGTCGCTGCCGTCCGCGCAGTCGCAGTAGTTGTCATTCAGCCGAGTGAGCTCTAGCCGTTGCTGTCCGTTGTCACAAATGAACTGTGTAGCAAAGATAATAGTTTAGAGGAGTGCGGAATCAGATATGGCGGTGGATTTTGAAGGAATGATGGCGCTGGACGTACACTGGACACGGCGCTGAGCTTGTGCTGCAACTCGGGGGAGATGCCGCGCCAGTCGGAGGCGCGCACACATACGGAGAGCAACGCCAGCGTCGCCGCGAGCCGCAGAACCATGAGGTGACGTGTCAGCAAGTTAGATATTGCTATTGAACGTCAGCTTATCCTTCTTAAGAAGCAACAAAGAGCAACTTAAATAATGTTGCGCAACTTAATTGAGAACAAGCAACTGATCATTGGAGAACTTCAAGCAGGCGCACGTATGTGCACCGTTCTTCATGTGGCTCTCTGCATGTATCGCGATCTCCGTCACTCTCCTCCGCCTACGTGGACGTGGCCGGCAAGTCTGCGGGTGGTGGCCTGTTCAGATGAGGGATAGAAGCCGCATGGCCTCGTGGAGCGTGCTTTTGTGGAGCGACGTCGTGTAATGGCTACATTTATCTGTAGACGAGCAATGCGCTGCAAACAGTTGAGCTCCATTTCAAAGTGTTTGTAGCCGCCAGCGATATTTTTACTATATTGATATGTGCTGCGGTCTGTATCTGGTTTCCTGCGACCAGCTCTTGTCATCTACGACTAAATACTTAAAACTTTTTGAATATCTACTATCTATCTCCGCGCGCATGCCTTGTTGGTTCACTTGCAACATACTGGATGGCACGCGCGCGCCGTGCTCCTAGAAAAAATCTGCGTCCGACACATTCGGGTACTCGATATTCGCGCCGCCCGGATCTGGGTCTGAATCGGGAGAAGCCGCGACGGCGCCGCGCCTTCAAACGTTGACAAACGATGGAGCGCGGAACAACTGCGGCGTGCTGCAATGTGAGACCGGGATGGCGTCGTTTTGCTCTTCGTCACTGCTAAAGAGAAGCGCTTCGAGAATCTCCAGGTCGCTCTGGTCGAACAGCGGGAGATTCGGTGTCGACGGCTGCTGTGGCTGCTGTGTCGGCATCTCCATCGTCGTGAACGTCTGCATCGGCATGCTCATGCTGATCATCATGTTGGGCGGAGACATGGGCTTACCGTCTACTGGACTACGCATGGCACCGACGGGACTCCGCTGCATCCTGTTGCTATAGCGGTAGTTCTGTCCTGCAGCCATGGCGACCGGCGTGAAGCTGTGTGTACGCTGCATCTGTTGCTGTGCCTGGAGTGCCTGCATCTGTTGTGCCTGTTGTTGTCGCTGAAGCTCCTTCTGCTGCTGTTTCATTACGCGGCGCCGGTGATCCAGACGCATCTGATTGCGGTTGGCCTTCTCGCGGTGCATCGCGCAGAACTTGTGCAGACCGCCGCTCTTCTTGTGTGTGCGCTGGTTCTCGCAGCGTTTGCTCGAGTATTGGCAGCGCAGTTCCTCTGGTACATCGGCCGTCGGTGCGCTCCTGTTGTTGATCTGCTCCATCGAATCCTTGGTAAGGTTCACCGGGAACTTATCCGTCATGTTTCGTTGGAGAAGAATTGCTCGTTAATCTTCAGTTGTTTGTTCTTCCTTTTCGGTGCGAGCTGTCACTGGCACTGGGCAAATTGAGTTGTGAGCTGACGAGTTCGTGCCTCCTCACGAGGGTGCGTAGGACAAGCGCCGAACCGTAAACACCGAATGGCCGAACTCGTCATGGCTCGAGATGAGGAAGACGCATACAGGGAGGAACGTCTTCATAACGTCACTGGCACTGGAAATCCAGTGGAATATTTCGCCTCGAAATATCTAGCTTTTTAGGACCTTTCCAGAGATTTGACTGGCTAAAAATTTACTACATTCACTCCTGTTAAGGATGCGAATGATGCTCCTCCATTTTGGACCAATCCTGAAGCTGGAAATTTTCGTAAAACGTCTGGAATTTTCGTCGTGTGCGCCACACCAAGTCTCATGAGAAACTTCGAGACGTTCCCATCTTCCACCCCTTGTCGCACTGGGTCACATGCACGCAAACGGTCTAGCTTACAGCTTATTTCAGAGCCAGACGTATGGGGAGCGGCGGTATCCGCATACTAGCTGAATGTTGGTGGGTAGCTCAAAAATTTCAGTAGTAAGTCGACAACGCAATAAAATGCATATCAAGGCTGGCGGCGGTGGCGCGGTTTTGGAAATACAGGCGCGGCTTCTGGAAGTTCTTTCCTTGCAATAATGTACGACGTATGGAGCTTTCCTTTATATTTGCTTTGGGAGGTACCGCGTCAACCACTTTGTAAGAACTTGAAGTCTGCATGTCTCAGTATAGAGGGATTATTCGGTCTCATAGGTTTTGGTAGTGGATTTCTATGTGACCAGAGGAGACCGGAATAATTCGTCGTGAGTCCCCTCACAAAACTGTTGATACTGTGCGGCACCGCCCAGCATTGGGTGGCCACAAGGCGTCATGGCAGACAAGCCGTTGTGCTAAGTGCAGTCACCACAACAGTTTGCTTGGTGCTGCTGCTGGGATGCAGTGTCCGGAGCCATTTCGGCCAGCGAAGAGAAACTATGTCGTTACGGTGGTGCCTGATACAGCGCAACAACAGCAGCACCGTCGACCAACAGAGAACCAAGCATTTTCGTGAAAATACGTAGTACAACTGCCTTCTGTCAGACGGACGGTTTTCGCTGGTATGATCAGTGTATACCGGCATCAAGCCGGGCTCAAGGCTGAAGTATCCGATACAAGCGGCTGTGAGTCAGCAGTGCTTCGATATGTCTGGATTAAGTCAACGGTGCAGTTTGCTACGCAAGTCTCCACGACTATGGAGTATCCAACGGCAAAAGCTGCCCCAACGGTGAGGGTGACGACGTTTTTGTTGGTTATGTGGCAAGGTATTGCGAGTCCATATTGCACTACATAGTGGACTGTGGACAGCGGACTCTGAACTCCAGCAATAAGACGACACTTTCGCAAGCGCTTGCGGTCGTTATCTGTGGTCGATGCCGCCTCGCACAATCCAGTGAAAAGCATGTTGGGCGTGTCCGCAAGTCATGAAGATGCCGCTCTAGCAATCGTGAAGGACAAGCTCTGCGTGGAGGTTGTACAGATTGCTCGAGCAAAACTGCTGGGGTGTACTAGAAGCAAACGCAGGTGGTAAGCCTTTAATTCAGCTAAACCCGCGGGCATCCGCTGCTAAGGTAGAACGAGCATGCAAATCTCTGTGCAATCCCGACGCAGCGGCTCGGGTATGTATTTTTCTGTTTGTCGCGGAACTAATTTACTCTATGCGGAATCGGAACGAAGGCCAAAAGGGACGGCGGCGATCGCGTGCCGTTGTTTGTGTCGATGCCCTACAGGGACGTGTTGCTAGGTGCCGGGAACGAGCTCATGGACATATACATCCGGTAATCGGCCATGAATGCGGCAGCCTCGCCGTCGCAGTCGTCGTCGTCGTCAAAGAGTATAGCCTCGAGCATCCTTACCTCCTCAGGCGAGAAGTTGCAGATCGGCTCTTTGGGCTCCATAATATTCTTGGCGCTGTTGTACTCCATGGGGGCCTGGGCGGCGTCCATTAAGCGTTTCTTGCGCTCCACCATTTGCTGGCGGATGAGGCGGCGCTTCTGTTGCATGCGCTGCTGGTTCACATTGGCTTTCTTTCGGTGAAAATCGCAGAGTTTGTGCAGGTCACCGTTGTCCTTCACCGCGCGGTGGTTGTTGCAGAGCTTGCTCGGGTACGAGCAACGCACTTCTGTTGGCAATAACGGGGTGGTCTGCTGGTTGTTAGCGGGGGTTGAGGCAGCGGTGCTATTAGTCGACATGGCTGGATTTGGGTGGCTGTTTGTGTCTATGTAGGAGTAACTAAACGCTCGTCGATGACGTTCGTTTGTTTGGTAAATGCGCTGTTGGAGGCGAATTGAATAATGGTGATCGCTTCAGACGTCAACCCCCGCCTTATTGTTCTGGGTGCTACGCCGGCCGATCCGCTTACTTGCCGTAGGCGCAACATGGAGTCAAGCCGGCCACACACAGACCACCGCTACTGCACCAAGAGTAATGACGATGCATCGACCACAGCGCTGGGCTGCTCGAGCGCAAACGTACTCTACTGAACCGTTCGACGCGAGCTTCGGGGGGCAGTCAAGTTGCCGTTCAGAGCACTTCTTGGACCACCTCCATGTTAGTCACTGAAGCCGGTACAGTCGAAATTCGGCGATAGTCCTATGTTGCCCATGCTACTATTAGTGGAGACGATACCTTCTAAGAGAAGGTGTCGCGGTGTAATACAGATTGTCTCGCTTGCCCGATTGTAGCTACTAGCAGCGCGGTGTATGCAGCCTCAAGTTGGCAAGTGCCCAGCGCTCTGTCCGGCATGTAGACATACGCCATAGAATGGCTGTGCCGCCCTTGAGCACTTTTCAGAATCTTGCCTCTTTTTCCTGGTCATTGGTACCCACCGATGAAGCGTGAAAAGGTGCTCGAGATGCAGTGCGGTTGGCTCCATGATCCGGCTCACTCTGCTACGCAGGACTTGTTTGTTTATAGTCTTTAAAAAATCAAGATCGCGGAGTGCGACTGTTTAATTTAAAACTCTCTGCACCAAGAACAACTTGACCATGTGGAGGTGAGCACAGCAGACTAGGCCAACGATGAAAGCTGCTTGGTGCCGCAGTGACAACTGCGTGGGTGCTGATACTACAGCTACCTCTTGACACCGCGGCGCCACGCCTCAAATTGGCTGTCGGCAAAACCAGCCAAGTGTCGAGTTTTATTTTAGCGTAAGTAACAACTCCTTGTGTGGGCGGGCGATCCAGTGGAAACATAGCTCCGGACGTTCATTAGCTCCACCAGACCAGTGAACGTTCGTGGAGTATCGTTAAGGGAAGTTTAATTGCAGCATCGGCGGGTTCCAAAGAGTTCGGGTGCCGGTAAAGTACGTCTGCAGCAACTACATCTACCCCCAAGAGCTCACAGTCGTCGATGCACCCTACAGCCGTTTTGTAGCCTCAAAACGAAAACTGCACACGGTTGCTCTATCTTCTGCTTCTTGCATTCTCCTCTCCAGAGCGGTACACATCAGGTTGAGCGTGTACGGCACTCACACCGGCATACTTTGATGTCCGTCACAGTCTATCGTTAACACCGTTGTCAAGTTGGTGAAATTGCTCATGAGTTGTGAGTCACAGCTCTCAATACTCTGACATTAGCTTCTCTCGGTCTGTGTGAATCCACACAGTATTTGTTGGAGTAATGCGTAATTCATGAGCATTGTGTACCTTGCCCCCCCCCCCCCCTGTCTGGAGAGGGTCAGTAGTATTCATTGTGTATACCTCATTTGTCGACTTCCTGTTCTCACGATCGACGCACTTTTTCCCAGCTTATCTCAGGTCATTATGGACCCCCCTTGCTGATGTACAATAACATTTCTCGGTGCAGAGCCACTAGTGGCCACGAAGAACCGTGTTAAGATCTCGTGAGGCAGTCTCAACTCGACGTTTGCAATTTAATTCGGTTTTGGGGCTCAAAGCATGATCACATTACCAATACATGGACACCACGAACATAGTTGCATGTTCGGCTCTAGGCTAGGTGAACTGCCAGTGTGCTGGATATTCTGCTTCGGAGCTACATGAACACCAGCGATGCCATCCTCTACATTGGAATCCAAATTAGATTCGCCGATCTTGATTGGTCCAATCACTTCAACTTGACGTTGTATCGTTGTAGAGATCTGCTTGAAGCCTTTCAGCAAACAGAAGTTTCGATGCTCGCGCTGCCTTAATTTCAGAGCGTAACCTGCGAGCCCAGTTGATATCGCTGCTTGCGGGCGTATGTGTACAAGTGTCCGGAGGTCATTGCCGACACTGTCGGCGACAGGCCTCTTTCTACATTTGCCAAACTCATTGGTAGCTTCAACCACCGTCAAGAGATACCAGACCACCGCTACGACGTTAACGCCTTTAACGGCTATCGCGAAGTTCGAACGTTGATTCTAGTTACCGTTATTATATTTAAAGTGTCTTATCAAGATATAATATTGCAGTGTACAGCTAAGGTTACATCGTGTGAGCTTTGAGCTCTCAACAGTTAGAACACTGCTTAGCTGGAAGCAAACTTTACAAGCGGTAAGATTCACTGCCACATCTGCGTTAGCGGAGTTGTATGTCATGTCACTGACCAACGCAAGCATCACATTTACTTGTATCATTCGTATCCAAGAAGATACAATGTATCATACAAGTTGTATCTTCTTGGATACGTTATTTAGACCGTCTCGTTCTGCGGGTTTGATGTGCTGATGCAAAAGTTTTGTTTTTAGACTCTTGCTACAATATTTATCGCCTCGAGAATGAGTGCCTAGTTAGGCACCTAACCGTGATCTCCACTAAAAACATGCGAAGGTGAGAACGCTTTCTTTAGATAATATGGTTTGCTTCCGCCGAGCTATTTATGATGGAGCAACATGCACAATCCCTTGGCAACGTCGCGTGTGTGTTGTAGTTCAGACTTACATCGCGCCTTCATATAGCAATTAGCACCAACCGGCAATGACCAAGACCATACTTCGCGCGGACACTCCGACGGACGTGTCGGCCACGAACTCCATCTTCGAGATCCTCTTCAAGCACAAAGAGGATCATGATAACCCGCAGGAAGAAGAGGACCCTTGTATCTCCAAGGAAAAAGAACCGCAACGTCAACTATTGGTACCGACCAAGCAGCCTACGGTAAAAGAGCCTGAGCATCAACTGTTTGTTCCGGTCAAGCAGCCAACCTTGCTCGCGGATCTTCACTTGCTTCAGCAACTGACTCAACAGCTCCAGGCGGCAACTCTGAACACGGCTAGCAACAATCACGACGATGATAACACCTCCTCGATGAATACTCGTAGTACTGAGATCATGGCTACTCTCTACTGCCGCCGCGCTGCTGCATTGCTGGCGTTTGTCGACTACGACGCCTCTAGTTCAATTCCCCTTGACCTTCTAGCCTCGAGTCCGTCAGCTAGTACCAGCAAGGACGAAGCAAACCAACCTGCACCGATGCTGGAGGCGGTGCGACAGGCGCTTCAAGACTCTCAAGCTGCTGCGGCACTTACCTCGAACAACGCAACACTTGCCAAAGCCCACTTACTATCGGCTTATTGCTCACGTAGTCTGGGAGAGCTCTCCCATGCCCGCGTCTTCACGGCACTAGCGGCAACGGCGTTACCAAGTAGCACCACAATTACGAACTTGGCTGAGCAGCTAGATGTAGAAGCTCGCGCTGGTGTAGCAAACCTCTTGCCCAAATTGCGAATGACGTCTGCAACTCTGTCAACTCTAGCAACAAGCAGCGCAGCAACTACCTTAAGCCAGAACGAAGAAGAGGAAAACAACAACGATCACACGGAGCAAAATATTTCATCGCCCACTTCACAGATGCCTACGCTCCCGATCGAGCAAAGCTCGTTCTGGATCCAAGTAGCCACACATTTCCAAGTATTGGAAGAAGCAGCGCTCTCGTCTTGGCTGGTTAAACTCGAGCGTCTAATGCACCTGAACGTCCACCATTGTTGCGCCCAACCTTCCGAGACAATTAAACTGGACGCCGCACTCCAGGCTACACTTGCTACGTTAGCTCGCCTGCTTCAGAGTAGTGCTGCGTGTTCAACACTTGGTCTCAACATGACAGACGATGAGGCAGCGAGAACACTTGAGAAGCTCCAACAAGCTGCTGCATCTTCGCCGCAAACGGTAGTACAGAACCGCACAGCCAGAAAATGGATCGTGCAGACCTGGGCTCCAGCAGTGCGACGTGTAGTGGTATCTGCGTCTAAGTCGCCACTTATCGACTTGTCTGGAGACGTTTTATTGATGCTGTCGCGCCTTCTGCATGCATCCGGAAGCTGGCGGCAGTGCACCGCGATGGCCCACAGCTTGGCGTACACTGAAATGAGCTACGACCTAGCGAAGCTCTTCCGTGGGAATTTCACAGACCCTACAGCATGGACGCGCCTGGAGATGCAGTGTGCCGAAGCCTACGCCACAGCACAACTACAGCGAAGTGCTGGACACAACGAGGCGCGAAAGATATTCCAAGAAACGCTGCAGGCCGCGCTTCAAGTCGGAGACCAGGAGTATGAGCTGCGATCGCGTCTTCATGTGGCAAGGACGCTCCGGCTTAAGAATGAACCTGAGATCGCGCACGCTGAGCTAGTCCAGCTTCTGGAGCGCAGTCGGGCGCTGAAGGACGTGCACTTTGAAGCAATTGCAGAGTATGAGCTGGGCGAAAATTTCGTGCGGCAACAAAACATCGAGGCAGCACTCGATCATTTCCAAGCAGCGCAGGCACTGTGCAACCGCACAGCCAACTGCGCGAACTCGTGGCGTTCCTCATCTATTCAGCAGGCTATCGATTTCTACGCGCGTTTAAGACCCACGGTTCGTCGCGGAGCCATGCGCTGCAGCGTATCGAGTCTCCTGTGCCCTGTCAATGACAAGGAGAAGGACAATGACGAGTCCGAAGCCCAAGAGAACGAAGAGAATGACAAACAAGAGGAGGAAGAGAACCAACGTCCTCAGCGGCGCCAAGCATTTTGTCGTAAGGAGACGTCGCTACAGCCGCGCTCGTTGATGAGCATGCTCTTGAACTCGACCGAGACAAACGCGCTGTATGGCCCGAAGCCGAAGCGCACGACGTCCTGGCGCGATACCGTATACGCGACAACGTGGCCTGGTGGCTGCATCGCTGAAGAAGTCACGCAGTAAGCAAGCGAAGTAGAACATTTATAAGAATACAGCTCATTCATTCATTCTTGCTTCGACCATCACTGCAACTTGAAGTTGTCCTTTGTGGTCCACACAACGCACCCCACACGCTTTTGTCCAATCCGTGTCAAATATTTACTCATTTCGCATTTCACTGGTCAAAACATGAGCCACACGAGCCACTCAGATCGTCGGAAAAGTGTTTCTTATCACCGAACTTAACTTCAGCCCCACATCTGATTGGTCGGTTCGAAATCCATGTCTTACATAGTTTGACACAGTCTTGAACAAAAGGGGGAGCTCAAACGAGCGGCTCTGAACCACAGACACCCAGACTCGCCGCCCCACAGTAGAGCAAGAACGACAGGATGGTCATGATGATTCTCGTCAAGAACTCGGCGCCCGTGCTCAAGTGAGTAACTCCACCGTCTTCTTTAGACTCTATGCTATCCATCCATGCCGGTTGCACGCTCTACTCGCCACCGTATCGATCGCTAGCAGCACTTTTACCCGCGGTGTTTAACTCCGCATAGGATCGCTACGAGTCGAGTGACGCAACCACAACGACAAACACTCTAACGTTGTTGCAATCTGTATTGCTACTCGCAGGACCGTCGGCCAGCAGGCCCGCGGCATGGCCACGGAGAAGCAGATTCTGCAGCGTATTACGGCCACGTCCAACATCGCCAAGATCACCAAGTCGATGAAGATGGTGTCGGCCGCCAAGATGCGTGGCGCTGAGAACCGCATGAACGCTGGCCGCCCCTTCACCGCGTGGCTGGACAACGTTAAGGGCGCTCACGACCGCACCGTCGAGACTGACGGCGTGGCTCCGGCCGAGGAGCTTGAGGGCGACAACCTCTTCGTCGTCGTCTCGTCGGACCGTGGTCTGTGCGGTGGTATCAACTCGGGTATTGCCAAGACCACCCGCAAGCAGATCGCTGGCATCGAGGACCGCTCGCAGATCTTCGTGATCGGTGACAAGGCCCGCGCTCAGCTGCGTCGCGACCTTGGCGACAACATCCGCGGCAACGTCACGGAGACGTACCAGTCGCCCCCCAACTTCACGGTGGCCAGTGCCATCGCTGAGGCTGTGATTGCCTCGGCCCCGTCGGAGTCGGAGAAGGTGCACGTGCTGTACAACAAGTTCAAGTCGGCCATCTCGTACATGCCGTCCGTGCGCTCGCTGGCCGTGCAGCCGGACTCGGACGCCTTCGACCTGTACGAGCTCGAGCCTGACAACAAGGACGAGCTGCTGGCCGACCTCAAGGAGTTTGAGATCGCCACCGCCATCTTCCAGGGCATGATCGAGAACTCGACCAGTGAGGAGTCGTCCCGTATGGCTGCTATGGAGAACGCTACCACCAACGCCGAGGAGCTCATTGGCTCGCTCACGCTCGTGTACAACAAGGCTCGTCAGGCCCGTATTACCACCGAGCTGATTGAAATTATTTCGGGTGCCGCCTCCCTGGACGGTTAAGTACATTCACGAGCCCGGAACGGAACGGATGCTCGCGCGAGATGAACTTTTCCCAGTTTGTAGCTAGGAATGGGACGGCAAACGCGAGCATGACATCGAGGAATTACGAGCAGCAAGAAGCGTTGGTGTCGACGGAAATAAACAGCAAAACCATCTCCTCGACTGCTATTTACCTTCAATTGTTGAATGTGCTGCAAATACTACATGTGGTAAAATAGTATTGATCACGAGTCGGAACTGAAGAGTGTGAATGCTATGACCGTTAAATGGATTCGGTGACACGAGACACATGACAGAGGTAAAATAGTGTTTGTATGGCATAGGCGCTTATTGTTTCAGGTGCAGGCAACGAAATAAAGCATCTATCACTGCAGTCGCACACCTTAGACGGCTCCAGCGGTGGTCGTCGACCTGCTTGGCTAGCAACGTGCTGTTTCTCTTAGTTCTTGGAGAAGTACTCGGTGACCTGGTCCATAACGAGCCACTGGATACCGTACGACGGGCACAGACGAGCAAGACGCGGCACTAGACCCTTGTACAGTGCGCTGACACCCTCCTCCTTGGCAATCACGGCCATGGCATCCACCATGCCCTTGTACTTGCCGCCAGCACCGGCAGCAGCCTCCTGCGCCATAAGACGGGTCTTAACCACATCCATGGGGCAGTTAATGCACGGGCCGGGAATGGCACCAATCATACCGGTAAGACCGCTCTTCCACGCCGGCAACGAGTCGCCGTCCTGGATCTTCCACACGTGCTTCTTGATGAAGTTGTTGGACCAGAAACTACACGCCTGGTTAAGACCCTGGCGACCGATAGTCGGGGCCAGACCCTTCCACAGTGCAAGCGGACCCTCGTGCTTGATAACCGTGACGGCAGTGTGCACCGGACCACGGTACTTGGGGATCTCTCCCTTGACGATATCCTGGCCCTGCAGACGCGTCTTGATGACCTCGAACGGCGTCACAATGAGCACAGCTTCAGTGGCACCAGCCAACGCACCAGCAACGAACTCATTGGCGCCGCTAACCTGGCCGTTCTTGTCCGACAGCATGCGACGGAAGATGGCGTTGAAGTAGAAGCGCGTACCATTCTTGAGCACAACTGCACAAAAGTCGCAATAAAAATCACAATAATTATGTTAGTTGCCATATGTTAAATAACAAGCAGCAATTAACTGAAAACTTACCGTGAGTTGTCCATGGGATGAAACCCTTGAATAGACCCTTGGGGCCTTCAGCAGCGAACAGCTTCTTGCCGCAGTCGACCATACCGCGGTACTGGCCGGTCTTGTCGAGCTGCATACGGGTCTTGGTCACATCCAGAGGCGTAAGGATCAGAGCCTCAATGACGCCTGAAAGCGCACCGCCGAAGAACTTAACGGTGGGCGACACCTTCTTGACCTGGCCGTCCTTGTCGGCAGGTAGCGGGGCGCGCAAACCGCCCTCACCCACCTCGACGCTGGCCTTCCACCAGTTCTTGGAGAGCTGACGGACATCCGGATCCCACAGGAAGTGCTCGAGTGCCGTGGGAGACGCCATTTTGGAACGTAGCAGCAAGTACAGATACTTGAAGTCAGCCTCGTGCACGCGGTGTGCGTCACGCGGGTGCAACTCCTGGATCATACTAGTAGCCTCCTGGAGAGTGACAGTGACGCCCAAGGCTTGCAGACCATTCTGCAGATCCTCATCTACGAGGTAGCCCTTGCTCTCCTTGTCGAAAGAGCGGAAGGTCTTGAGGATGAACGCCTCGTGCAACGCGTGGAAGTCGTCGTACGTCAGCTGGCCCTGGTTCTTAGGGTCCAGACGCTTCATGAGTTCTCCCACATCATCTGCAGACAGCTTGACTCCAGCCACACGCAAGCCGCGCTGGATGTCGATGGCATTCACCTTGCCGTCCATGTCGGTGTCCACACGTGCGAAGGCCTCGCGCAGTAGCTGGTCCACCGTCACGCGCGAGTTGCGACGCACGAGTCTGGCGCGCTGCTCGGCCTTGGCCTCATTGGGGTTGCTAGCGTCGACCATGATGGTGTGAGTCTATGTGGAGGAGGAAGGCTTCGGCTCGCGGGAGGGAGATTGGAAGTGGGGAAGCGGAATCCTGGTGGTTCGCTCTGGTGCTTTGTTGCGAGCCGAAACTGCCCCAAGTGCGAATCGACGCACCCCATCTCGCCTCTTGTGCTTGAATACTCAGAGTACTGGCGTATACGAAGTATACAAGTGCTCGACTGAGTACCAGCGCTTTTGCCCAAATCTGAAGTTCGTGATTCGCGATGGTTTGAGTGAGCCAATACATGTTATGGAAACAAGTTTAAATTACGCCCGCTCAGTGCCTGCGGAGAATCGACTGCAATCGAGGCAGCATGCTGTTCTGCTTGCCGCAAGAGGCAATTAGACCAAAAGTCACATAATTCAGTACTCCGACAGTTGAGCTGGATAATTGTATCTTAACCGGCTATACCCAGCGTATATTTCTGCTTGGGGTGTCACGGGTTTTGATTGGTCAAATACCGCTGGCTAAAACGTGCTGCATCTTCAAGAGCGACGAGCTCCAATCTCGTCGCCCGCGTCACCACGATGGAATTGCTGCACGAACTTCGTGCCACGAAGCCCTGACAAGAGACGTCCAAACGAAAGCCCTCACTTTGCAAGCAATGATAGTGATATTTGCTACGGCAATGCTTGAGCGTTGGCAACGTCAGGCACAAAGACCCGTGGACGCGTCAAGCTGGAAATATGCTACACACCAAATTGGAAATATTATTTGTTGTTGGTTGAAGTTGGTGCCTCGTCACATGGTCGAATAAGCGATTGTATTGTGTCAAGCAATGCCATGTTCGTCACGTTCTGCTTTTCGCGCAGACGTGCATCCATACTGAACTGTTCGATGCCGAGCAGGAGCCACCCGTGGCGTGAATAATAGCAGCGACAAACGGCTCGAACGAAATTCGTGTCGTCCTCTACCAGCAGTGCCCAATGGTGAGTACTATGAGTACAAAACGACTGGCCGAGATGCAAGAAAATCGAGCGTTTCAGCGTTGAACGGCAATGAAAAAAAGCATCTGGTCGTCGGATATGATGAACTCGCTGACTCGTAGCATTACACCTACTACGTAGTAGCAGTTTGCTTTCGCAAGCAATAGTAGAGGAGAAATTGACTACTAAGTACATGTCGATTTGAGCTCCGCGTTGTGGCTAGGCAATTTTAGTGGTGTGGCCTGCTGTTCGGAGAGCGGTCGACTACGGCGGATGAATTAATAAAGCCTCCTTTGGGTTTTGCCCGACCATCGATGAACGTTGAGGGAAATCCGTGAAGATGCAATATTGTGTGCACCACACCACTCAAATTTGAAAAACCGCGGGCAACCGATTTGGGTCCACGCGCCCAGGACGGGACGTGCCGCTTCGCCATGCTAAGCCGCGTTGACGACACGCGCGTGTTCGAGAATTCCGAGGACGTGGTCATCCGATCCTCCAGTCGCCGCATCTCGCGTCAGCAGCAGCTCAACGGCGCGCAGCATCAGCCGCGCAATCGCGACACAGACGAGATCGAAGAGGACGAACAACTGCACCCGCAACATCCCTATCGCATGCGCAAGCGCGTATTGCAGCAGGAATACAAAGATTTCCACCATTTAGGACATGTCGGCGATCAGATTCTTGTGCCACAAAGAAAACGGGAGAATAACAGACCCATGGAGTTCGTTTTCCTGTCTTCGGGCGAGATCAGAGCCAGGGAAGACTGCCCACCAGGCTTGGAACTGCCCAAACTACAGCAGAATCATGACGCAAACTTCGACAAAAGACTGGAGTATCAAACTGACGGATATTCGAGTGAGGAGGAAGAAGACATGGAATATCAGAGCCTGAACAGCACGCGTAAACCTGCGATGAAGGCGTCTAGACAACATATTCGAAGGCAGCCTATTGGTCGACAACGTGACGAGCGGTTTGATTCATCGTCATCTTCATCAAGGCAATCAGAGTCGTCCGTGTCGGAAGATGCGGATGTATCGTCAGATGACGACGCATCGATTGCATCCAAGGTGTCTGAGGAGATTGAACAGCGTCTAAAGAAACTCCAAGTGCACAGTAGACGACAAGCACGTAGCGTCGAAAGCCACGGCAACACTCACGAGCGGCGTTCCGGCGCCAAGGCAGCAAGAAATCGTGTTAGAAGGACGCCAAGCCATTCATTGAAACTAGACCACCTCCGCACCGATGGAAGGTCGGACTATGCCAATGATAAATTTCGCTCTCACCGCTCAGCATCCAGTCGTGAAGAGAAGTCTCCATGTAGCGACGCTACTCGAGACTCTAAGCAGCGCCCAACACCTTTGCAGCAGCTATCCCCAGTGTCACAAGCAGAGGATACAAACGATGTACCCACTCGTCGACCTAGGCGCTCTCCAAAGATGGAAGTGAGTCATTTGGATTCAAATGAGAAGGACAAACCCACAGCTAGCGCGAGGAGAGAGGAGAAGATGGTTGATCGATTGGAATCGGAGTTACAGAAGGAGAAGAAGCGAGTGTTGGAGAAGATGACTCAGTTGCTAGACGAACAGGGCAAAAACCAGCAGCTTCGTGACCGAATTGAAGCGTTGGAGGCACAGCTAACAGCGAAAGACAGCGATTTCAGTACGAAGCTTCGAGAAGTGGAGCGTGCACACGAAGAACAGGTCCAGTCAACCGAGAAGAAACAAGCTGATCGTATAAACGCACAAGAGGAACAAGTTCGTGTACAAGAAGCCACTATTGCTCGTTTAAAACAAGACAAGGACCAGCTTAAAGCGGCTATCAAACAACTCAAGAAGACGTCGAGTAACCCGTCTAATGGCCAGTGTATGGATAACAGCGAAGCGAAGAATTTAAAGTCAGAACTTGACGAAATGACTCGACTTCTCCAAGACTTTTTGGCGAAACTGGAGCGCTGGAAGGAGAATACGAAGAAAGAGCTGCAAAGTTGCAAAGATATAAGCGATCTACCTGCTTTACTCGAGCAGAAATGGCAGGATTTTCCGCAGTTCTCGGGAATATCAACAAGATCACACAAGGAAGCCACGAGCTCTTTATCTGAACAACAATCGACACCCGGAACGGAGGAGCAAGATGCTGTTCTCTTCTTGAAAAAGAGATTGCGTCAGCGTGAAGAAGAACTGCGCCAGACTCACGTCAAATTCGGCGAGTTGAAGGAGATCTGTGCCCGACAATGTGTTCGCGAGGCTGACCTGCAGAACTTTATCAACGAGCATCGTTTGCGTGGTAACCTCATTATTCGCAAGACCAGTGATACCAAACAAAACGAGACTAATAACCAAGAACCTGTACAAGATGATCAAGACGAACGACGCAGTGCCAAGCTGAAGATGATTTCGAGTCGAGGAACGAACACACCGGCGATTTATAACGAAGACGAAGATTTTGTTAATGACGAATATTCGGACAACCAGCAAGATAACGACTATGGAGAAGAGTATGAGTACCCAGTGCGAGCACCCACGGTGTTCGTTCAAGTTGGTCGCGACGGTGTGTATGAGCATGCGTCGTCTACAGACTCGGCGGTGGCGCAGAAGCTCGCGGCTGATAGAAAGCAAGGAAAGAGGAAGAAACAGCAGCGAGTTGAGCGTATTCGCTTGGTACCGTCACCGAGTCTGGCTCAGAAATACGAACGAGTACCCACACCGACTACGACGGCACGGAGGAAGAAATCTGCTCAGTCGTTGCAGTCGTCTGCGTCACGACCTCATCCAGTCATGCTCGGTGAGTGTCCGCCTGGATGCGGAAGTCGCCCTTCCTTCATGAACAGGAAATCGCCAACTACAGCACGAGCTAAAACAGCCAAGAGATCGGTAGCTACATCCACATCCAGAGGAGCTGTCGGGGTTGTTCGCCCTTGGATGTAACCTGCTAAGAAAATCGGGTTTTGATTTTTTTTTACGTGACATAAATTACAGGGTAATTTAATGTTTAGGCGAAGTTTCGCGGCATGGTGTCGTCGCCATGCAATGCCACCAAGCGGTCGTAGGCTTCGGCAGCGTCTTTCGGCGTCCAGAAGTCTCCACCCACGATCGTGTGGCCGCCCACCTCGAGCTCGGCGCTGTATTTCTTAATCTTGGTAGCGTTGAAGCGTACGCCCAGGAATTCGTTCGCTGCTTCGTTCTCCGTCTCAGCCACATGCGCGTCCTCCACCCTGCAGCTCTTGGTAATAGCGGGTAGCGCTGACGTCTGTAGTGTACGTGTCAGTCGGACTAGAGGCGCCTGAAATGCGCGGCGCACCAATAGCGAATTCATACTGTGTGCTGGTGAAGAATGTCTTCGTGTCTTATTGCGCTAGACGTATTCGAGAATGCCGGCAGCAGCATCTTGACTTTGTTGCTGAGTTTCCTAATCGAGGTGGTGACGCCTGCGTCGTTTCTCTGAGTTGAAGCTTGA